TATATATATATATATGTGTGTGTTATTTTGAATCAGTCACCTGCGTGTACCCTACACTAATCTGCTCTCAACCACACATCTGCCCCCATCATTAAAACACAAACACAGGAGCTACACTCCCAATCGGCTCTATCACACCACTCCTCTTTATAAAACTTGAAGGAATTCCTGCATAGCCTCTATCAGGTGAAAACTTAACCTGCATGTCCTCAAGAATAGAGATACGAGCCAGACTAGCTGGACTATGACCGTCACGGTGCCGTAAATATGTTGAGTACTTTCTGTTTATTGGACCAGCGGTAAACAGTATGAGGACACAGAGCAGGTTGTCTGCCTGTTTCACGGCTTTTAAAGTGAAGTTAAAATAGCTAAAACAAATGACAGGATGAGACAATCAGGCTGTGTGTAAGCATATGTATGTGTGTGTGCAGCTCAGCACTACCGGCTAAAATTGGCCTGTCAGTTTGAGTCCATGGTCTGTTTTTTCCACAAAGCATGGATTAAAAAAAGATACTGGAACGCCATCATTTCCAAACTCTCACCTCTGCCTGTGTGCTGCAGGCAGTTTCAGATGATCACTTGACCTGAGGGTCATCCTGACCTGCTGTGAGCACTCAATTTGACCACACTGGGAAGTGATAAGCTGACACAAAAGCCCTTCTTTTCCTGCAGGTTAGCGACCTCACTGCCAGCGAAGGACACCGTTACTCATCGCTCTGGTCACATGGCTATATGACATTTGACCCTGCTGATTTACAACCAGTTTTCCTTCCTGCATTCAAGTACTGAAACGTGTAGGTTAGCATGGCTGTCATCTGCTCACTTTCACCCTTGTCTATTTACAACGTTATGTCACACACACACACACACACACACACACACACACAGGTGAGCTGCAGATTTTGACAGGTGGCACTGTAACATCTCAGAGCCAAATAATGAAAGTGCGCTGTGGTATTAAAACGTAAATAATGTGTTAAGTCAATTTGCCAACTACTGCAGCAGACTAGTTTTAAGCAGACAGCAGTGTGATGAGCGTGCCTCAAGCACAAGTATAAATGAGGAGCTGCATCGGCATCACAGTTCAGCTGAGCGATGACCAACACGTTAGCCATAACCGAGGCCTGAGAGACAAAGGCAGCTGCAGACAGTCACTCTACAGGTTCATCTAAAGAAAGTGGCTCTCAGCTTCATCTTAGCTCGAGCAGAACTAAACAGCAAGTGAGTTTGAGCTTTCAGGGAAGGGCCGAAATGCACCGCTGTAAAAGAAAAAGGTACGCTTGAGTTACAACACAAGAAAAAACAAGAGCCTCAGAGTGAAAATGAAAGCAAAATAATGTTTTTCCTTATTATTTGTTTTTATAAGTGAGATTAAAATCTAACTCATCATCGTTATGTCAAGTTTTTAAATTAGAACATATCTAGTGCTGCTCAAAACAATGGGCAGTGAGAAGAAAACACCTAGTTTTACTTGGTGATTGTAAGACCCCCAGCTCACACTTTTTGGGGGAATTTCCTCCACTGAACTATCAGTAAACAGATCAAACATCCAGGTTACCAATGTTCGTTACTGTTCCTGGATATCACAGAGATCCCGCTGAAGGAATCAGAAGGAATCATACTGATGAAAAAATTTGATTTTGACACTTGAAGGAGGTACAAATGTTTATTCTGAGTATCTCCTGTACCTATGAAATTATGGGGGTTCAGAAATGCTGGAAAAATAATTAAAAGCCTTTTAATTTGGATAGATTTGTCACAGTATTAAGGTAGAATTATACAAATACACCAAAGTAATTTTTTATAAAAACTGCTGACAATGAGGGGGTCAGGTGGGGGCTGTTATTAATAATCCATCCATTCAATAGAACAAGCTCATTCGTCTGTCTTCGCACCTGTTTACTGTTTCAATGCTAACATGACTATTTACCACTTTTAACAGGCCACTCATTTCACACACACACACACACACACACACACACACACACACACACACACACACACACACCGCTTTGCTTTTGTGCAAACGTTAGCTGAGCCCCTGCTAGCCTTGCAGCCCTGACAGCTCCCAGCCAAAGCCCGCTCCCCCGCCCCTTCCCCGAGCCCGTGTTCCTCCGCCCCAGCTGACCGTGAACCTCTTTTTCCTTCTTCCCCCCCATAAAACAGCAGGCCGGCCTCGGTCTGAGAGCCAGACAGGGGTGTGTATAGGAATAAAAGCTGCAGCTAGCCCTCCTAGCAACCTTTCAATGAAACGTCAGTCCACAGCCGGGGCGGCACAAAGAAGAGAAAACCTGAGCAGGAGCCGAAACGGAGCAGCTTCATCACCCTTTCTTCTACTCACCATAACCTCCGCAGCTCGTCCTCACAGCCAGCCCGTGTCTCCCCGGGTAAATATCCTCACTTCGGCCTTAAATCTCTCCTGTGTCCGCCTCTCTTTCTCTCACTCTCTCCACCCGGAATGCTGCCTGCAGGACAAGAATGGGATCGTCGTGCGCAGGCGCAGTAGATGCAGGGATGATGTTGGCACTTGGAAGTCTGTCGCATGGCAATGCTGAAAAAAACAAAAATCCCCGACGGTGTGCAACACATAACCCGACCTCTGGCGACATCTGGTGGACACACGGTGGCTTCACAAACGCGCATGTGTGTTTGTTTCTTTATTTGTGTAGATTTTCATACTTCAGGATTTTATGTTTATGTTTAATTCCTTTAACTCCAATTTCCACTCAAACAAAACTTTTGGTTCTGTAAGAATTGTCTCCTGTAAGAGTAATAAAAACATCTCTTTACCTCTGCAGCAATTATCATGATTAATAATATTATTCAGTTCTCTAAAATATACAAATCTTCAATGAAAATAAAATATCTACATGTTGATTTTCTTAAACTTGACTTTTAGATTTCTCAGGGTTGTGGGAGGGTTGGATTTGGAGCCTATCCCAGGTAACATAGGGCGAGAGGTGGGGTACACCCTGGACAGGTCACCAGTCTGTCACAAAGATAGCACATAGAGACAGTCACTTTTAATAATTTCTATTATCAATCTCAAAATGCTTTGTGATATTATTAATAATTAGATGTATGGGAGTGGACAGTGAGGATGGGATCACTGTTGACAAGTTGCTTCTGCTGGGAAGCCATGTCTGTTGCCACTGCAATAGAGGGTGGGTAAATAAAGCTAAGAAATTGTTGATAAGACATTGGAAACTGCTTGTACAGCATTCAGAGACTTGTGAAACCATGTTTTAAGGTGTGAGTGTCTAATAGTAGTCTTGGTAAACTTGTAGTACTCCCAGTTAACACTTCCCATAGGAGCAGTGACAGTGGGCGCTGCTGTTGTTGTGAGAGGGAAAAGGGGAGCAGCCTCCACTGAGGATGGCATAAAGTTAAACTGAAGGTCGCAGAACATCATCCTCTGAACTGTTATTTTTACTAAAAACGAATTTTCCTGACCCTCCAGGGCTGCAGATTGTCACCTCGAGTGGTACATTGAATGTTTGGGGAAAATTTCCTTGTTTGCTGGGATACAACCTGGCACAATGATCTACTTTTGCCTATTTTGAGAAATGGTGTTTGTGATTGATTAGTTATGCCTGTAGAGGTCTTTAGGGGGAGCTCTTGCCACCATACTGAAGATGTTGAAAGGAAAGCTATCCCACCATTTTTACTCATTTATCCTCTTTTCAGGTATGAAGAGAGAATTTGTACAGTTGTACTATGAACTATTATGTGGGGAACTGTGTTGCTTGTATTTTCTAAACATGCCAACTGAAGTTTGGAAATCTTTTTAAGCTTTCTTTCAGTTTTTAGTGCTAACTGGTGCACTGTACAGTTAGCTAAGCTAAACACTGGCTTGGTGGCTGGCACAGAAATGCATGTCCCCAGAATATATACCACACATACGGGATATACTTTAATCATGATTAGTTCAATAGGAAACACATACAGTGTATGTGTGAGATTAACCTTTGCTATATTTCTGTGTCAAACTATCCACTGATATGCTTGTGTTTGTTTTATAACAAGGATTGGTATTAAAAAAGGGACAAATGACTGTAGATGTGTTTTATTAATGTTTATTTCCAGAACATTTGAGGTTCATAATCTATGTTTATGTTTATTGATTTGTTTGTTTAATTTGTTGTCAAGTGTCTTTCAGCAAATCAAGGTTCACAGTGATGGATGTTGGACTGATACAAAGCAGATGCTCACAGTTGGTTTCAAAGGTTTCAGTCGTCAGTTTAAAGGTAAGCTAATGTATTCGATATTACTGTTATTCTGTATTTCTTTACTGGTGTCATGCAGGCTGGGGGTTGGACAGCGGCCCCAATAGCCCTCGTAACATCTTCTTAGCTAAATGTAGCTAGAGCACAGTTCTCAGCCTGTCCAGAAAGACAACTGTAATTCACAGTACACATAATTTTTTGACTAAATGTTGAATGAGTCATTTCCCACCTGGCAATCCCACTTTAACACTGTCTGGAACTTCTTCTGAGTTTTAAAACAAACTTTCTGGAAAGCACTTTCCTGATTTTACTAGAAATATAATTTCCTTTTAACTGTCTTTCAATAGACTAAAAGAATAAATAATAAGACTAAAGTATAAAAAAAGATTGTTGGCACACAGGAGGACTCTATGAAACCCACACCAGCACCAACCAACCAACTCTGAACACCTTTCACTACCAAATGAAGTACAAAACAAGTAAGTCAAGAAAAATAAATTACAAAGAGTATTAACATTTAAAAATTGCCACAGTGGTTTGCCCTGTGATTGCCCTTCTTTTTCTCTACTTACTGCTGAAGAGACAGCCAGGAGGAGATTATAATGATGCAAAGGTAGGGTGAAACATGCAAAAGAATTAAACTAGTAAGTTTGAATTTTGGATAGTAGAAGTGTCTCCATGGCACGAAGTATTTTCAGCATGAGGTAAAATCACTCCTCTGGAGTAGTCCATTACCAAAACCAGACCCTGGTACCAACAGCAGAACATGGATGGGTGGATCAGTCTATGTCAGGTGGCTGAAACAGACAGATTAATGTAGCTGTAAGTTTTGTATGAAAATTGGAAAAGCAATAAAGCACAGTAGTTGTTTCCTTTAGGCTGTTACATATGCAAAGATGTGGGAATGTCCTTCATCTATGTTTCTGTATCGAAAATGCTGTAAATAGCCTAAAACATCACCTGTTTAACATGATAGATCCGAAAGAGAAAAAACCTTTGCTGTGAATCACAGCCAGTGTAGAGCTGTTAGAAGAAACACAGCAGCAGATATCAGACATTCAGGGGAGCTCGTCACTCCAGCACCTGCAGACAGAGACACACCAACATGTAAGCTATTCTGCACTGCTGTAAAAATTAGGAACACTTTGAAAACACACATTCTTTACTGATGTGACTGGGTACCTACAGAGGGCTGAATTTAAGAACACCACAAAAACCAGCGTGAAAACAAAATTATACGACAGGCTTGATTGGGGTGACTGTAGCTCAGGCGGTAGAGCAGATCGGAAGGTTGGTGGTTCGATTCCTGGCTAGTCTGCATGCCAAATATTGGGCAAGATACTAACCCCAAATTGCTCTCCGATGCATCCATTGGAATATGAATGTTAGGAAGAAAGCACTTAAAAAGTGTGCATGGGTGAATGCACAAGTTGTATAAAGCGCTTTGAGTGCTCAGAAGAGTAGAAAAGTGCTATATTTACATTTTCCTTAAATTTAATTACAGCAACTCAAAATGGCAATTAGTAGCTTGTGTGGGCGTGGCCAACGTGCTTGTTTGACAACATCAGGGCATGCTCATAACTGGATGATGGTTTATATCCTGGGGGATTGCTTCCCAGATTTGGACCAGGGTATCACTGAGCTCCTGGTCAGTCTGAGGGGCAACCTGGCAGCGTTGAATGGACAAAAAAAAAGTTCAAATATTTTTCTATTGGTTTTAAGTCACGTGGGAGTGGGAGCCTAATATAAGATAAAAACTTGCAATTTCAACAGCACATCTCAGTCTTTCTACATGATAAATGTGTAAATTACAGAGAAAATTCTGGTAGTTCACCTCCTATACTTTCCTGTATTTATAAAACATGGAATTTTTATTAACTTAACTGAAATTTCTACAGAAGACAATGAAAAACAGGAACCTTTCTGTCATATAACTACTTGTTAAGTACTTGAATGGCTGTGAGGGGGTCTTTATCTGCAGGGAAAACTGTAAAACCTATAAAACTACAGTTAAATTTTTTTCCCTTCCTTCACATTTTCCAAAGCCATTCTGCAGGACAGTTTTGGAACCTTTACCAGGCCAATTCATGCCTGGGGACTAGATCTTTTGACACCTGTGCCTTAGACTGATTCTTATCGCTGCACATACCTCTATACTGGTTTTAAAATGTTCGTGACCTGAGTCAGAACAGAAATAGCCACATCAGCTTTAAAAGCCTCTTTTTCCAGGAATAACCTACAGGAGGTAAAACTGTCACATGAGAGTTTAAGTCAGTATTACAGGACTGAGTAAATGAGTCTCAGTCAGTGGGACTGCTCGTAAATTGAAGATGAAATCTGTCTCAAACTGAATGTGACTTTCTGCTTCAAGCTCTGAGCTGTGGGGAGGGCGTTTGACACGTAATTTGACATTTCCTCTGCACGAGAACAGATCATTGTTGTTCTACTTCAGTCTGAGACCGGAGATGAAGTGAACAGATACAAAAAGAATACAAAATAAATATGACAAAAAGCAACACTGATAATGCAAAACTGCAGAAAATGGTTGATATCCTGAATTTGTGAGTGAATATTGGAGGACCCTTTTGTGGTTTCCAAATTTTAATAATTTAATAATTCAAACTTGTTAAAAATGCGCTTTAGATGCTTTGATTTGCGCTAGTAATTTTTCTGGACTGATTCATACCAGCGTTGTTTTGATTATGAGTTATAATTTTGGGCAAACAGCAACTACAAATGCATTTATTTTATCATGATAAGTATTCTTGCCATGACAGCTACATAGTAGAGCTCAGAAACTTTAAAGGTTACTCAGTGTTTTGAGGTCCTACTGTTTCACATCCTGATGACAGAGATGTTGAAATAACTGCTGTTTTTGTTCTTATTTGTGGCTAACAGCTTTCTGCATATGAGCTCACCATGTCTAGTTTGCAAAAACAAAAGTGGTGATTATGAAACCGCTCAGCTTCATAACAGCTGCAAACTCCCTCCTCTCTTAATAGTTTGTTTGTAATTTGTTTTCAGCACCAAATAGATTAAAATGGGCGTTACACAGGGTGTAACATCAAGGGGACAGGTTTTCTGTGTCTGTGACGGGGGACACATTTATACGTTTGGGATGCAAAAAATATAGCCTTTTGAATTAAAATGATTCTTTTTGATACACCTCAGATACTTTTAAATGAACAGTCATTGTCATGCAAGTTGAAAGATGGCCAAGCTTTAACACTGGAAGAGAATAATGAGCTACAATAAGTGGACTCATAGTTCTGGCTTCAAACACCTCCGCTACTTCCGCTGGAAGAAAAGTGTTTTGACATTGATGTGATAATTATTCATTCTTTCATTCATCAAATTCTTTTGCATTTAATTATTAAACAGAAAAAGTGATCAGAGTTGGAAAATACAAAATATCTGACCGCTAAAAAAATTGATATATGGTTTTTACTGTCCATTTTATTAAATTCTATAAAATAAAAACCACTACCACAAATATTATGTTGTGCAACCTCGAGTGACTGTACTGGCATGTAGATTACATGTGAAATTAGTGAGATCCCCTCTATCTCCAGTTTAACTTTTCTCAGTCCACTGGATGGCGCCAAACATACCTTTGCTGAAAGTGTCGGTGGCCCTCATTGTCGTGTTCAAAGTCGGGTTGTGGATGAGACAGCTCACGGCCTCGTGAGGACCTGCAGGGATTAGTAGGGTGCTGCGGGAGCTGTAAAGGCGGTCGTGATAATTCTGCATCGTTGTAGTTTGGATGTTCCTCGACTCTACTGATTGATGAGAGCTGGTATAGAGGAGGACCCATTGTATCTCAGGGGCAGGAAATCCTCCTTGGGTAGTGCACACTGCAGTCATTGTTTTCATATTAACATCTAGCCTGGGATTCTGATAAGGAACTGAGGAGAGAAGGGGACAGAAGACCATTTCCATCTTTCTAAAAATTTTTGAATAAAGAAAGTGAATATTACTCTAACAGGAGTAGCGATTCTTCATGCCAGATTCTTCAGAATGGCATAACCTCATCAGTCCTTCGGCTGGATGAGGTGAATATGTATAATTCCTGAATAGCTTGTGCACTTCAAGCACATCTTGACTGTTTGATTTAAAACCCACTGTGGTTGTGCACAGAGCAAAAATACACAAACTGTGTCTTTGTCCAAAATGATTTGAACCTAGCTGTCACTTGATTACCGATAAATAATCATTACAATCACTAAATGCAAATATTAGCATTGTCACTGTTGGCAGTGCCTGAAAGGAGGAAACTACACATTCTACATTTATATGCTTATTTATATGACAATATAACTTCTCTTTCTTATTTTTGTGAAAAAGACTGAAAACCTTTCTTACCACCGATCTGTAAAGTTACTTGGCAGATCTGTGTGTGTTCCAGGTGGTATTTCTTCATCACGCTGCCGTCCAAGACTGCCGCAAAAGCCCAGAAAGTCCTTTCGTTATCTTCAAGAGTCAGGTTTTTGATTATGATGCTGATATTTCCTCTAATTATGTCCTGAGGGAAGGCTGAGACCCTGTGTTTATAGTAGTCATTTACATGCTCAGCCATCTTTCTTCCTTCATTATAGGAATACAACACAAAATCCCTGTTATCTTGCCAATAAAAACGAACATTACTCCAGTCGGTGATATTTTTATTTTGTATACTACATTCGAGGACTGCTGAGTCGGTGATAGTGGTGTTAACGTACACCAGTGTTGCATTACCCACTGAAACTGGAAAAAAAAAATAAAATAGACAACTGTTAATGATTGCTACTTCCTCAAATCCTGTGACAGTCTAATACCAAGTACTCTTATCTTTAAAACAAATTTCTTCTCAGATAAGCCAAACGGTACAGTTCCATCATGTACACAAACACGCACACAGCTTTGAATGAAAATGGTCTTATAAAAAGGTGATAGCTTACCGATCGTGAGACTGAAAAAAAGTACAAATAGGATCAACATTTTTGTGAGCCTTTTGTCAAAGAGCAGCGAGTAAAACACGTGTTAGTGAGCACGGACACTAAAAATGAGGTCATGTGCAATGGAGACTAACAAGATGCCTTCTTTTGACTCGACAGTCTTCATCGGGCCTTTCCCCCCAGAATGACTAGTAATAAAGTCTTCATAATACCGAAGTAAAGCTCGGCTGCGGAGAGCAGCTAATATCTGCATTATCAGTGCCCTGTGACTACATGAAGCCTACGTGCTTTGGTTGCCATTGAAGAGGAAGTGAGAGTTGGGTAACATGTCAGAGTATTAAAGCAGAATATTAAACTAAGTGTACTCTAAGGAGACTCAATAATCTGAGCCTTTCCGACATCGAGAGCTAGAAAATAAAACAGAAGAGTGAGCTGATATTCTCTGTTCAGCTCTGCACGACAAGCTTCCACTCTCTGTCAGACAAAGACGTTCAGATGACTTCCTTAATATTGAGAACCACCTGCCATTAGATGCAGATATGAAATCAGTTTAATATGATAGAAAAGGAAGAACATGACTCACGTATGTTTACAGATCCAACGATGATACCTGACAGTTTTTCCGTTGCCCGCCTAACATAGAAACAGTGTGTGTGAAAACCAACAGGGGCCGAAAGGTAAGATTCTCAAATGGATATCTCATGGTTAGAGAAAATAGAAAAACTGTTGCATCAAAAAAAATCACACAACTTCCTGTTGCTCTATTTGCTCTTTTTTTCTTCATTGATTTTGAAGTTGTTTTGTCTCTCTTACGTTTAGCTCCTTTGATCTTCACTTTGATCATTTTTTGCCTTCTTCTCAGTCTGTTCGCTTGCTCTGTGTTCAGTAATCTTCTTGTTGATCTGATACAGGCAGTTTAATTTACACTGCTTTCTGTGGTAGTATCTTTGGTTTCCATTGTTTTTGTATCTTCAATCACTGTACACACACTGCCCACTTTATTAAGTACACCTTGCTAGGTCCGGTGTGAACCTCATTTTTCATTAAGAATTTAATTCTTCATTAAACAAAATACTGGAAATATTCGTCAAAGATTTCAGTTCATATGATATTATACATGATAGCATCACACAATTGCACCAAATGTGTGCACTGCATCCATGATGTGAATCTTTTGTTCGTTAACTCGCGGTGTTATCTTGTTTGGGGCAGCCATGGAAAGGGATGGACATGATCAGCAACAATACTCAGGGTAGGCGGAGTGTTTAAAGCTCATTTGGTGCTAATGGGCTGAAGGTGTGCCAAGAAAATATTCCCCACCCCATTACTTGTCCACCACTAGCAGGAACCGCTGATAAAGGCAGAATGGGTCTGCGTTTTTATGTTGTCTACATCAAAGTCTGACTTGACCATCTGAATGTTGCAGCACAAATTGAAACTCATCAGACCAGATATTGTTTTTCCAGTCATCTGTTGTTTAGTTTTACTGAACCTGTGTGAACTGTACTCTCAGTTTCCCGTTCTTAGCTGACAGGAGTGTCACCTGGCTTTATCGTCTGCTGCTGTATCCCATCAGCATCAAGATTCTGCATTTGCATTTGGACATACTCTTCTGCATTCCCTTGGTTGTAATCGTGGTTGGTCATTTGAGTTACTGTTGCCACTCATTGAATATTTGCTCTCTTACAACCCAAGAGATGTTTGTGTTGGAAAATGATAGTAGATTGTCAGTTTCTGCCTGGCAACAACCATGACATGTTCATAAAATTAACATAAATCACCTTTTCTCCCCATTCTAATGCTCAGTTTGAACATCAGCAGGTTGTTTTGATCATGTCTATATGACGAAATGGATTTAGCTGCTGGCACTTGATTGGCTTACAACCACGCGTCAGTGTCAGCTTCACGGGATGTTTTTGGTTTGTTGTTTGTGTTTCAGTCAGATATGAACATCTTCATCCTGCACCATCATCATAACTAATCATGATAAAAATCAAAGTGAAATAGTATACTACTGTTATGGAAACTACTAATATTAATATATAGTATGTTATATAATACTATTTTAGGTCATATTAGGGCCTTGGAAGCACATCATTGGCAGGTTAGCAATCGCGGCAAGATCCTTGTGTTAAATTGATTGTTTCTGAGCAGCCATCAGAGTATTTAGGGGGATAGGAGCCTTTATATTTTACCCACAATGCACTTGTACTTCAGTTGTCTTTGTTTTGCAGCCAGAAACCATGGCAGCAAAGCAAAGAAAGTCAGCAGTGTTGCTTTATGATGATGCCAAAATGTAAACTTTATTTCTCAAGCCTGTATTACAAGAATGAATCACCGTCAGCACATATATTCTCCTTTTTGCAACTGTCTGCTGGCTGCAGTTGTTAGTTACCAGAAATATTGGTGAAGCACAGTAGGTTTGTGGTCCATGGATCCTTTTTTGTTTTTGTTTTCTGCCACAGATGTATTCTTGCTGACTTTCTGTCTGGGACATAAAGCAGACTCAGTTTGTTGAAGTGAAAGCAGTTCAATTTTTTCCTCTTTGTTTTCTCAGGCATAGTCATCAAAAAGGAAAACTTTGTAACTGATTATAAAATGGCAATGATATCTCAGAAGTAATTAAGAACCAGTCAGACAGCTTGATTTAAGTAGTTTTCTGATAATGTAAGCAGAATGCAGCTAATTTCAGAATTTACTAAACAGCTGTTTTTGTCCTGCTAAGGCTTTACACACCAGAAGCGTTTCATAAAAACGTCACGTAATTCCGAATTTTACGGATCCAAACATGCTGTGTAACCTAAATACACACTGAACGTGTTTGCAGAAAATTCATCCTCAAATAACACACTGTGAAAGAAAGGAGTTGACATCAAGCAATGATGAGCTAGTCCTGATTTTACTAAACCAAAAAAGGAACAAACAGAAATTCTTTGTTCCTCTCATTCTCAAGAGAAAGGAGCAGCATGCAGAACTTCATGTTGGGATCCAGGAGCTGAAGCTTTATTGCGATTGCTTTTGCGCATATTTCTGGATGTCAGTGGGGCCAGTTGAACTCTTGTTAGCAGAGAAATGAGACCATACTTGAGGAGGCAGAGAAATAATTTCAAGAGCCGATTGTGACACAACAACAATCAAATGTAACACCATGTTCAACACTTTGACTGTGTCACCACCAGACAATGATGTGATTGGTTAGATGTGTTTACATGCAACCGAAACACTGGAAAAATTTAGCTTAACCTCAAAAAATTTACGTTGCAAATTCCTCCTACGTAATTTCGTGTTGGGTTGCATCAAGAATAGGTGAGTCATAAAATATTTTTAGTGGACGATATATTTGCACAGATTTTATGTTTCTTGTGTGTAGAGGCTTTTACTCAGAAAAACCACCAAACTCTTTTTAAACAGTAAAAAAAATAAAATAAATTGGGGAACTGATCAAAGTTTTGATTGCTGTCCCCCTGATGTGACCCACTGGTTTTACTTTGAATTGAAGAAGTATTACACAGTTTAGAGAACAGAAACACAAACAATGTCACAACACAACAGTCTATCCAAATGCAGAGCAGTGGGTCTGTTAAATGAAGCATTCTTGTAAAGCTTTTTGTTTTTAATCATTTATGAGCTTCCTTTTCAATTCATGAATGAGCATATAGAGCCACAGCTCCACCTTAGATAGACTGGGTGCTAGGCTAGGTTTTTGTACTTTTCCAGCCCTGGACTACATGATATCTGCCACTGCAAGCTACAGTAAGTAGGTCCTGATTTGTTTGCTATTGAGGGACCAAGTTGCACCACATAGTGGTGCATAATGTGGGCCAAATTTCAGTCTTCTCAGTATAAAATCGTCACGGGACAGGCTTTGTCAGACAATTTAGGCTTTGAAGATAATGAGGCGAAAGGTAGCAGTGGGTACAAAAGCGATGTAACATAACTCAAAAGGAAGTGAAGCTAAATAACAAGCAGAAGACACAAGACTAACGTTTTGTATTCTGTAATGTAGACCTAAATGCTGCAGAGTATTAATGCACTTTGGATCGGGTCCAGATTTACATCACGAAGCTGCAGATGCCCCTCTTGCGCAGTCTGCGGCTCTGCCTTTCAGACAGCGAGGGCTGAGGTTGTTTACGCAGTGTGGGTCTGATTCTTTCTTACAGAAAGAAACATATTTACACATATTCAGAAGTCTGCACGGGAGCTATCTATTCTCTTGTCAGGGTCTTCAAGGAATATTTCATCTAATTTTTTCGGCTTCAAACTCCAATCATCAGGTAGGGGAGTGGGGGGGGGGGTTATTCTGGTCCTGGGTATCCTTTAAAAATATTTTTATTGCATTTATGTTGGTCATTTGAACCACATAGTTTCATTTTTTTTCTCCATAAGAAGTGAGCTTGATTCTCTTCCTAAAACCTTAATTTTTTCTATCTATAAACCATATATAAAAAATATATAATATTCATCTAATTGGGATACTTTTATTCTTTATACTGTGTTAATCATAAGAGCATTTATTTATTTATTTTTTAATTCAGGTATTTATTGTCTGCTTTTCAGGCTACTGTCAGTGAAACAAAAAAGTCAAAATAAGACATGAGCCCAGAATTGAAGCATGTTTTGATTTATCTGCTTTAATATTTTATTTTGAGTGACCTGTGGAGCAGTATGGAGAAAATCATCTACATTATTAACACATACAGGTATCATTTACAGTATCCTTCAGTCATAACGAGAATGAGAGCCAAAAAATTAAATTAATTAATAAGTAATTAATTAATAAAAGAAAATGTTTTTCTGTTTTTTAACGTTTTTTTCCCCTTATGTAGTTGAAACTACATTTGCACATGCTCAAACGCTTCCTTCCTGTTTTGTCATTCTGTACATATCATCCTGCTGCTGACAAAAGGACGTTCCTTTTACTATAAATGGAAATGAGTTGTTTCTCCACGTTGTTTGGTATGTCTGAAAATTTGTTATATGCCTTCAAGACACTGCAAAAATGTATGTGAAGCAAAGTGTGCGTATATGTACTTCTTTTAGCATGGTGAACTTTGTGCTTATGAAATCTGCTCTTTCTATTAATCCAGTTTATAATATCATTATTTACTAATCTCATCAGCTGTCTTGTTAGTTGTTACATTCAGCGATAAAAATGTTGCGTGAGACGTGAAAGTAGTTCGAGTGTCGTGGGAGAACTCTTTTTGTCTGATGACCACGTAAGCCAACAAAATAGTGGCTGTCATTTGTCAGCCTAAAAGTTGAAGTGTTGCCTTGGAAGTGAGATCCTGAACCTGAAGGTTGCTCTATGCATCTAACTGTGTGTGCATGTGGAGGGTTAAAAAAACAAAAGGTGACGTGGTCTAGCAGTTAGCTCCATTGTGTGAAGTCTAAGCTGTTTTCCTACTGAGGAAAAGAATAATCTGGTTGAATTAAAGCTTAAAATAAACTGGCTGAAGGGCAGAGCAGGGGAGCTGGAAAACTGCACAGTTGGCAGCTGCGTAGGGTGAGGCTCGGCTGCTCAACCACATCGTGCTCAAACCGTTCATAGAGTGGGTCTACAAGTAGGCCCACTCCGCTACCAGCTGGTTAACCAGCCTGTGATTGCAAAAGCTTCTTTGTGCCTATTACCATTAATGTAGGTCCCATTTAAAGTCTTTGGTGTTGACCTCATCAGGCCATTTTACCAGAGTCCTCACAAAGATATCGCTTTGTATTAGTTCTGGTGGATCACGTAATCTGATATCCCAAAGCAGTGAGGCTGCGCACCGTTTCTGCAAAGAGTGTTGCACAAGCACTGTTTCAGGTCATCTCCCATTCTTCATCCTGAAAGATATACTGACTGACCAGGGTACATGGTTCATGTCTTGCACACTAAAGGAGCTGTATGAATTATTGGGCATTAAATCTGTTTGGACCAGTGTCTACCACCCTCAGACTGACGGGTGGTAGACACTGAACAAGACTTAAAAGCCCATGATTCATAAGTTCATTCACGAGGATAAATGCAGTTGGGATCGCCACAAAGTGCTTGTATTATTCCTTTCTTTTAGCTCAAAGTTACTTGCCAATTGGTAAGGTCTCGTTGTGGTCACGTGGTGGCGTTGACTATAACATCATACTGTCAGACAGGGGAGGAGCCACACAAATATATCACCTCAAACTCTTAAAAGCATGAAGAGAGGCTGAAACCGCTTCTCTGGTGAGCCTGGTGACGGTGAGAGATGAGTTGGGGCTGGCGGTGCATAATTCCACGATTCCTGCCTCCCGCCATTGTGGCAACCATCTCACTCAGCCCCAGAGAGCAGAGTAGCAGAGTAGCGGTGTTTTGCAGATTTGTTCTCCACCCTGCTCAGCTATACTAGTCTCATGACCAAATAATGACTCCGATATCTGCGAGTCTAATGATAGTCTTATGAGCACTATTTTGATACACACCCTATTGGTTACTTGAGCATAAGTGGCAAATTGTTCAGAGGGAATTGGCTGAAATGCTAAAAATGGGAGTAAAGCAACGTGGTGTAGCCCCATAGTTCTTTTTGTGAAGAAAGATGGCTCTATATAGTTTTGTGTTGACTACCCTAAGGTGAATCAAGTTTCACAGTTTGACACTTATTCCATGCCCTGGGTCAACAAGCTCCCTGACCAGTTAGGCACTGCTCACTTTTTCTTGATGTTGGATTTGACCAAGGGCTACTGGCAGATTCCCTTGCCCTGCCTGAGTCCAAGAAAAAAACGGCTTCGTGCAGGCTCTCTGTGGGGAACCCTTGCTCTACACGCCAAACTTATCTCCTATTTTGAACTCTTTACACAGGCTCCTGATGTATTTTAAGACTAATTTTAAAATACTTGTACTTACATACCGAGCAGTAAACGGAGCAGCACCAGTCCCATTTGGACGTAACTTTTATTGCATTATAACTTGCATTTTTTTTCCATTTTACCAGCTGATTAGTTAGGCTTAAACAAGTCTTCAGGTTATGACGTCTGAATTGAGTGAATTTAAATGGACTTCTTTTAGTCTCAATTTACTGTATAAAGTACAATAAAGTACTACGTTCCACAGGTCAGAAAGTGGCATTTTACGAGATTCAGAGCTCTACTGTCTGGAATGTTGATTTTTTTTTTTTTTAGCTGGATGTCTCTCTGTTTCCCTGCAGGTCTGCTGTTCTGGTTCTTGGTGCCAGTTTCATCAGAAACAAATGGAACCAGAGGGGCACTGCTGGTCCTTCAGTGCCATCACAACCTCAGCGAAAAGTTCATTCCTGAGCAAACCTCCATATACTGGCAAAGTAATTCCATCGTTCTTCATGTTTTTTCAAAAGGACAAGAGGAATTTCAACACCAAAGTGAGTCATTTAAAAACAGGACTGCAATTTTCCGCGATCAACTGGCCTCTGGCAACTTCTCCCTTGTCATCAATCCGCTGATGCTGAAAGACGATCAGCTCAGCATCGAAGTTGCTTACATACCAGAAAGCAGGACGCTCTGCCAAACCACTGTTCATGTAGCAGGTATAGTTCACCTTAATTAACATGGATGCAAATATCAGTATTTGTTAAATATGTGAAATGCAAACTGTATGTCCAATGGGATTGAAAAGATGAAACCCTTCAGGCAGTGTTCAGGCACATATCTTAAGGATAATAAAACAGGTGGCTCGTGATGATTATTTCGAGTGCTGCATGTATTTATTCACTGAGTTGAGTGATGATTGAGGGATAAAACTAGTGACTAGTTTATGTTTTTGTTAATTTGTACAATAATGATCTCTGATTTCTTAAAATTTGTATGAAAATTCTAACATTTATACATGTGAAAAATCTCTGACTCATTTCCAGCTCGTTTTGAGATGCCAAATATTGTGGTCAACACCATAGATATGATGGCTATGTGTGCAACAAAGGGGGGCTTTCCTGAACCAGAGCTATCATGGATCTCCGTGGACCACGAGGGACATGAACGTACACTTGAACCACCTGATGTCCAGACCCTTGAGATCTACAAGGAAGATGACGGCACCTACAGAGTTACCAGTACTGCCAACATCAGAGGATCACAGAAAGTTACATGCAGCGTTTACAACCCAACTTCAAAGGAGACATTGAGTGTAATTAAAGACGTAATTACAGGTACTCCAAGGATCATTTTTGCTTTTCAGCCTGAAGTTGACTTTTCAAATAAATTCAGAATCCATATCCATAGGTTTGAAATAGATATGTAAACCACTGTGTTTATTAATCAACCAACAATGACAAAAACATAGAATAACTTGAGGTTCAACTCCTGAGGCAGAACTCTAAGTCTTAAGTCACAGTTCATCTTAAACACAGACAAAAATTTTTTTTTAATATATATGTAATTTTGCTGTAAATTTAAAAACGCACTGTGAAATTTGAAACTGCCAGAATTACATACATCTCATCCCAGAATAACATCAATTGTAGGTCTGTTTCCCTGTAATTTCATGTCATCGAGCCAAAAGCCTTGACAAGCCTAGAAAATAACCTAATTCTCCATTGCAGACTTAGTAGTAGCAAATCTTTTATAGATACAATTTGAGTGAATGAATTCATAATTATATTAACACTAATCTCTTCAAACCAGAGAAGTTCTTAAAGTAACTTTTTGAAAAAAGTGTGGCCCCCAACAATCCTGATTTGAATTACAGTAGCTTACAACGTTACCATTTTCATGCAAGAGAATTCAAGATGCACATCAATTCCCATCAGTTCGTGGAAGCTTTCTGTGTTTCATTCATACAGATTCCCATGAGCAGTTAACCTAAAGTTCAGTTTACAGTGCTGTTTAGATTTAGATGATTTTTGCACTAAGGATTAATTTTGTGTTGAAGTTGTAGGTAAAGTAACACAACTGACTGTTGTAACTGTGTCTTGTTCCTGATTTACAGATGAAGGCTGGAGTCTGCCTTTGGGAGCTGTTCTTGGAGTACCGGTAATACTTGCAGTAATACTCGGAGCAGGAGCCGCCATTGGCTGCCGAAAAATGAAAAGTCTGTAAACTTTTAAATTTTGCTCCTTTTCCTTTGTAATTATTAATTATGTAATTAAATGTTTAAAAATTGGTTACATCAAATACTGTGCGGAGGATCAGTAACAGCAGTACTGAGTAAAATGTATGACTATATACATCATTAGAAAATGACAAAGTGACTCTGACCCCTTAGCAAACTCTGGTTGCTGGGTAAAAATGTGTTATTACTTGATTGGCTGGTGAGTGGTTGCTTGCATTTGCTATGAAAAAGAGAGTGCTACACCATAAGGTTGCTGCACTTGCCTGTAGTTTGCAAGAAAGACGTCCACTTATCTGCAAATACTACCCAAATACTCTTCGAGTTTTAATGAAAGTCTGTAAAGTTTGACACAAACTGGAAACTGACAGTTTCCATTTAAAGTAAAAAAACAAACAAACACATTTGCAATGCTTGCAGACAATTTGGTGTTTTTCATGCAATCACAAGGATTTTTTTTGTGCGGCACCGTATATTTCTTTGCAACCGATTTGACACTAGTGACTGGCAGCAACAACTGGACAACTGAGTACATACTTATTTTGCTTTTTTCTTCCTTTAATTTGCAACATCTTTGAGAGAATGCACCAGGTTTAAACCGCTGTGGAAAATTAGTATCAATCTCTTCATTTTAGCTCACCTTCTGAAGCAGTTACCAATGAAAGCTACAACACAAAGTTTGTGAGAGAGAAACATTTCAGGGTGTAAAGTAACCTCAAACTATAACTTCATGAAGACCACTTTTCCTCCATTGGAACTCAGAACACGAAATTAAGCACAGGCACAGATGTCTCTGCTCTGTGTCAACCCTTTACGCTGTTGAGATCCATTGGAAAAAGATCCACACATATGCCGTACACAGCTGCTCTGTTGAAAGTTAATACATGAATCATTTTTCTTGCAGGGAGAGACTGTTCAGGACAAAGCCTACAACAACTGAGCGCCAATGAACCTGCACCATTGGAAGACAGCACTCCTGATCCTGCAGCTGTTGTAGTTGATGATGTAGCTAAATAAAGGGAAAACACTAAATAGAAGACATAGCAGGGACTCATGTTTCTGAAATAAAGACCTCATCTATGGAGGACCACAGAGCCACACACACCGAAAAATAGTGTTTTTATTTTAAATTCAATTATTAAATAATAAATAACTTTATTAACGTTTGAATAAGTAAAATAATAAATAAATGAATCTGTAAATGAATTTACAAATGCATAACTTATTGTACAATTCATTATTTAAGCAAAAAAAGTCTTTACTTGATGCACGTGGCTCTTGTGGTGCTCCATATGTTAGAATCAGAATCAGAATCAGAATCAGAAAGGGTTTTATTGCCAGATGTTGAGCAGGTTTACAACATTAGGAAATTGCTGCGGTGCTTCAGTGCAAACATACTGTCATAAAAATATAAAAATAAGAATAAGAATTAAAAGTGCTAAGTGGATAGATATATACATGATATATACATGAGTGCAGGTGGTGATCAGTGCCAAACATGGAATGATGCAGTGAACACAGCGTAGGGTCATGTGTTAGTGGTGGGAACAGTCATATGGTTATTGTTCATGAGTCCAACAGCAGAGGGGAAGAAACTGTTCTTATGGCGAGAGGTATAAGAACAGTTTCTTCCCCTCTGTTACCTTCAAGCATGTTACCTTCAACAGGTGGTTATAGGCTGAGTCTACAGGCGCACACTCGGAGGATCAACTCTACATTTCACTGCAGGGCCCCTTCATTTTTCACAATCGGTGTCGGGCAGAATGTAAATACATAGGCTGAAATCTAAATGTTACATTTGATGTTTACATCTAAATTATTTAGCTGTAACAAAACAGGAATAAAATGTAGGACACGGAAACTAAAGTTCAAAATCTGAAGAAATAGATCACACGCAGTTTACTGATGGATCAAGATATTAGTTACCCAGATAGCATCAGACCCCAAGGTGGATCTGCCCTGAATACAGTGTATTAAATAAAAACTGTTTTTGTAGCAGTTTATGAGCATTACGTTGTTTTAATGAGTATTTAGTAAAATTTAAATGTCCCAATTAAATGTTACAAACCTTTTTTCTTTAAAGAGAGGGTTTTGTTATTTCTACTGTTAGTGGATACATATCCTTAGATTTGCTTTAATGTCTCCCAGTTTAATCATTTCTAATATGAGCCAATCCCACTTTTACTCACAGATGATGGATCTCTTACAGCCACAACAATCTATTAACGGTGCACTGATTTCCATGCAAAGATGCAGTCAGTACATCTTAATGATTACCTGACTTGAGTGGATTAGTGGCTCAGAAATAAGCACACAGTGAGAGACTGTGAGGGAGCGAGTGACAGCTCTGCAACATCACAGATCACTTTTGCGCGGTTTCTTTTTCTTTCTTTTCGCAGATCGGTTGTATGCAAGTCTCTTTCAAAGAGGCTGCTATTAGTGGGACTCGGAAAGATCAAGTGCATTAGATTGACAGTCTTACCCCATATGGATTTCATTCACCAGAGAGCAGATGAAGGAGCGAGATGGCATCAAAGTTAAAGAGAGGCGGAAATTACACCTCAAACATGCACGCGCGTGTGTGCGTGACGGATGCGCTAATTAAACACATAGCAATACACTTCTGGTTCTGTGCAAGCAGACTCCAATCCAGACACAGTTTATAGTAGAGCCTATGATATATGCCTTTTGGTGGATCAGGTTGTCGGTCAACCCACTGAGACTGATTTGAGTATGTCAGCAACAATATGTCAGCAATCAGGCTTAATGTGCAGTGTAATCAGATTGCAATCAGAGTACCTGTAGCTGCTTTAAAAACATAATTTAAAAATATATTTAGTTGAGTTTTAAAAGCTTAAAGTCATTTTAGTCTCATCTTCACTCATACTATATATTCACATTAAGAAACAGAAGCAGCATTAAGCCACAGCTGCACAAACCACCCAAAAGAAGAAAAAAACACAGCTTAATGTTAAATAAAAGAGATCAAACATCCAGCTATGAGTGAATAAACACTGATGAGGAGTCCGGTACCACCTGTAGCAAAGCCTCCACCACCATCAGCACAATCAGGTTTAGAGTACACTGCAGACGGGCCTTGATCGATACTGGGATGCTCAGTTTTGGTTTCATTATTCTAAAAATGCAACGCTTTGAATCTTTAGATATCATTAAATTCTGGTACCGGTGTATGTTTTTCTGTAGTTTTGGGGCCTGATTCGATTATTTTACCATTCTAGTGTTAAACGTTTTTGAATTTTTTCTGCAAGAGTTATTAATTGAGGCAAAAATGGGAGCAAAATCCACAAATTACTGCTTACAGGTGTGGTTAGTTCGGTCGTTGGTTTTCTAAACACAGATGCAGTCAATTCAATATGACATACTCAGTCTGCCAAAGGCAATGCAATTTCAAGCACGGTCAAAAAATAAGAGATGGTAATTTAAGATAATTTTCTAGCAGGACAGGTGCAGCATTGTAATTGTGAACAGAAAATGAAGTAAATTAATATGGAACGTGTACGTTAAATATAGGCCTACAGTGGCAGTCTAGCAGAGAATCGTTATAATGGAGACAAACTTCAGTAACTGACAGAGTCCAATGTAGGACTGTAAGAAGTAACAATTGGACATCATGTTTTGATGATGGGAAATGTGTGATTGAAAAAAAATGGGTTTGCTGATTTCGTGGGGGAATGTTTGGCGTTTGGTGGATCAGAAATTTGATTCCTTTTAGGGTTGTACATTTTTATTCCTTATGTTTTTTGATTGACTTAATTGTAGTTTTGAATGTGTTGCTGTATGGAATATGCAGTAGGAATGAAAAGGGAGTGGTGAGAATTGTGCCTGGGTTGACTGTGTGTAGATCCATTGGTACTGCCTTTGGTTGGGACTACAGTACACAGAAATGTAGTCATTCATCTCCCCTCGCTATTTCCCCTGTTTAAGGTAACTGCCATGCACAAAACTCTACAAACTTTTTTACTCCATCATCATTATTCATTGTAAGGGAGGTGAATGGTGGACTGTTTCAGCTGTGTAAGCTAGCTTTTAATACTGTCCCACCATGTTGAATGATGTTTTTTCTGCCACTGTCTGTATATTTAAGTTAACTACTGAAAGACATACAGAACTAAAGTATTATTTAATTACTGTGGTAAGGCAGTGTCAGCTAAAATATGTGATTTAATTAGATGTATTTACTTTATGTCACAGTTCATGTTGTGCACTGCCTGAAGTCTTCTCATCAGCTAATACAGAAAATAACAGTAACTTTGTTTGGAAATTGTGGTTCTGAGACAGAGTTTATCATTGCAGAGAGAATACGGGTTTGGTTGTGTCTATTGTAGCTGACACTCTATACAGAAGTCGAGAGCTGCATGCATCTTCATTCATCTCCAGTTTGAGGGCACAACATATGCACGTATGCGTTTTTGTGATCTATATCTCACACACTGTCAGAGCTGTGAACTCCATTACATGGACTGAGCAATTCCTGCAACTGAAGCCACCGTATGTTGAAGACATTTTGTTGATTCATTTTGAGTTTTGTTGATTTTTAGTAAATACTGACATTACTTTTTTGTGTTTTTTTTGTTTCACAAAGTTTGCAATGTGTTAGTACATCTAGCCCATACTGTCACTTATTCTTGCTCTGATTTAAACCTCTCTCTGAGTAAGCAGAGGGCTGCAGTGCCTTGTGGTGACTATTGTTGTGATTTGGCAATGAATAAATAAATTGATATTGAAATCAGTGTTAATGACACATCGCTCTCTCTCTCTCTCCCTCAGCGACTGTAGTGCGTTTGTGCAGCTTCCTGTATGAACACTCATGATACAATTGCACAAACTTGCCTGGAAGTTCAGGTGTTTAGTGGTGGTTCTTGGAAAGGGCAAATTCTGCTTCTGTGTTTTTTTTTTCTTCTAAAAGCTGAGCAGGTAAATCACTTCAGCTTCAACCATCATCTGCACACACAGTGGGCACAGTGTCAGACACTCAGAAAAAAAACCCTAAATATGTGACTTTAAATTTATATG